TTACGAAAGGGAAACAGAGAGTTTACATTGCAATCTCGGTGGGACCAATCGCTCACTTCGGTTAGACCGAAACGTTACGAAGGGAAACAAAGAGATTACAATCCCATCTCGGTGAGACCGAGATCCCTATCGGTGAGACCGATTTGCCTAGGGTTTGTGGCAATGGCTATGACATTTAAACTCGGTGGCGCCAGATAGAGAGAATTGGTAGGACCGATTTTGACTTTGGGTTTAGGTCATATGTGGATGTGCGAAAATAGTTAAGGGTTTTTGGAGCATATCACTAAGCACTTGAAGCAAGAGGCTCATTAAGCAACACCTCATCCCTCCTTGATAGTATTGGCTTTTCCTATGGACTCAATGTGATTTTGGATCACTAAAATGTAAAATGTAGAGTCTTGAGCTTTTGATCTTGAGCCAATCCTTTGTCCTTAATATTTTGGGGGATCCACTTTCATCATCCATGCCATGCCATTCATTGAGCTTTCCTGGAATATTTGTCTTGGAATAGCATTAGCTCAATGAGCTATATGTTTTTATGAATTACCAAAACCTCCTAGGGATAGTTGCACCTTCAAACACCTAACCAGACGAAATAAAGACCAAATCTGAAGCATCATATACAAAATAGAACACTAGGCACCTAATCGTACTACCACTAAACAACAAGAACCCTACACTGGTCACCTAATCAGTCGAACATTAGAACAGATCAAAAGAATACAGAAACACACACCAAAGAGCATCACAAACAAGAAAACCTAAAACATTACTAAGAACCCTACCACTAAACAACAAGGACCCTACACTGGTCACCTAATCAGTGAAAACATTAGAACAGATCTGAAAGAAAACATAAACACAAACCAAAGAGCATCAGAAACAAGAAATCCCAAAAAACATTAGAAAGAGGGGATTCAAGAGAATGAGAAAATACCTGGAAAAGGAGCAGATGCGCCAAAGTAAATACCTGAACCAAGAAAATCCTCCAGTTATGGATCCTGAATAGCACAACAGCAACAAACAAAAAGAAAAACCGCATGAGTAACTTCAAAACCTAGAGCATATCTAGCAAGAAAGAGAGGAGAGAGGAGAAATGAGCAGCAGATGAACAGGCCAACGAACCCTAGCTCTAAGGAAGAAGAGGAGAAGACAGGAACCGGAGAGAGACTGAGAGCCCGAGGGGGAAAGTGACTGAGAAGATTCCAGGGAGCTAAGGGAGAGCCGGCCGACGCTCGGGATTCGAGAAGCAGGCTGGGCGCTGGGCTCCAAGTCTGTTAACGGGCGCGCAAAAAAATAACGGGCACCCGCGAGGCTGAGCGAGCCCATTCAGCAAAATCGACTGACCCGGAACAAGACTCAGTCGATTTCACCTAGGCCCAGCTCACCACCAAAAACAAAACAGAAAAAAAAACCACAAATCTCAAACCACAAATCCAACGGTCAAAAATTCGACTGACCCAAAATCTAAAAATCAGCCGACTGAAAAGTAGCTAAAGTGGGTAAAAATAGTTGGCCCTCTTTGTACTGGCCCGCCCAGGTTTGGGGCCGTAGCTCCGCCACTGCCCACTATCTCAACCGTTCATGTTCTATGGGATGTGTGCCACTAGCAGTGTTGCAGCAGAGGCTAACAGTGCTATTTGGCCGAATGGTTTGACCCTCAAGTGCGTACAGTACCTTTATAGGCTAGCCAATACTTTCTGCTATCTACAGCTGTTCGCTGCTGCATCTGCATGTCATGCACGTCTCGTTTTGGGGTTCTTCATGCATATAGGTGCATAGGTAGCATGCTACTGTTGCGGACAGGTGCATCACACCATGTCTCTGTAGTCCACTCACCTTTCAACTCTAGAATTATGTAGAATAGCTCAACGTCTCTCTCCCCTGAAACTTTGCATGACCTCTCTTTCTCTCTTGGCGGATGTGTTTTGCTCCTCGCACATGACGGATGGTAAGAGCATGGTTAATAGTATAGCCAGCTGTTGGCTATAAGGCAGTGTCATGTTATTTACAGCCCATTTTATAGTCAACATGTATAATAGTAGATCAAAAGAGTGTATTACTTTTTTTTATTATGTGGCCCACCTTTCATTCTTATAAAGTGCCTAGGAGCACGTGCTAGAGCTGGTTCTTCACGAAGAGCCCGCTTACCTTCTCTCTCTTCTTCTCTTTCCTCCAACTAAGCAGAAATATACTAGTTTATTCCTTATAGCCCGCTGACTCACGAAAAAGATTTGCAGAGGCCGGTCTTCAGGTCGATCTGAATCCAACCCGCCCAACTAGCTCGGGGATCTGTGCTGTAAGATGTATTGCGATTTACTGCCTCACCTGAATGACCGTATATCACCGTATTTAAAGGAAAGCCCATGTGTGATGGGACATGTTGCAGAGGCAGTATTTACTGCCCGCCTGAAGGAGGCACCCGATGCAACATCTCTCTTAGCAGTGCATCAGTTTGGTAATTGTTTTCTTAAAGTAAGTACGTAATTAGGGCATCTACAACGCGGCGCTAAGGATCTTAACCCTGGCCGTTTCGCTAATCCAGAGAATATTTCCTGGCGCCTTTCAGGCAGCGGTGTCAACTCTGGCAGCGGACGCTTCAGTTCATTAGTAGTTGATTTGACCTGAGATTGTTAGCGCCTTACGCGTTGGAGGTTGAGACGCTTATGCAAACGCTAGACAATATCTTTTTTATTTTTAATCCTTAAGCGTGTACAGAAGTGGCTATGCAATGGAGATGCCCTTAATTGCTACAATTTTATGATTACTTTAGGAAAATCAAAGAAATGTGCTGATGGTATAGACACATAACATGGCCCCAAAAAATCAAAGGTACCCGATGCAATACCCCCCTTAGCATTGTGTCAGTTTGGTAATTTTTTTGTTATTCTTACATCCAAAATACTTACATGTTAAATGTAATAGCGTCTTATATTATGAGATAGAGGGAGTAGTTAATTGCATACTAATTTGATAATTAGTTTTGGAAATGAAAGAAACACACAAATTGTAAGGCATTTGGACGAGCTCTGTGAGAGGTTGTCTTTTTGGAAAACAATACATAGAAAAAATCATGTTTCAAATTTCAAAAGAATTCTTAAAAATTATACACATTCGTTTGGATGTATTCTACATATGTGTAAAGTTTGACGAGAGCTACACAAAAACACAAGTTCATGAATTCTTAATAAGGAACAACACGTATATGGTTCACCATTTTCAAATCATGATTATTTCTTTTTTGTGTATCTCTCACCATAATGTATATAATCTTTAAATTTTATACACATATGGTATACAACCATATGAACATGTGTGATAAATATTTTTTTTTGAAACTAAAAAATGCTAAATTTTGATTTCTTTTCAAAGAAAAAAATCTCCATGGAGCTCGTCCTCCATTTAGCATTTTGGGTTGACTGTACATATACGTAAGATTGCCGGGAAAATAAAAGGAGGCACCCGATACGGTATTCCTCTTGGCTTTGCATCTGCTACGTATTTTTTTTCTTTTTAAAATGTACTCCCTCCGTCCCAAAATAAGTGTCTCAACATTAGTATAACTTTAGTGCAAAGTTGTACTCCCTCAATTTCACAATGTAGTGCGCCCAGGTTTTCTAAGATCTAAATTTGACGAAAATTTTAACCAACGAGACCGACTGCGGCGGGAGCAAAAAATATATCACATAATTCGTATTTTCGATATAAATTCAGTGATATATTTTTTGATCCCATCGCAATCGGTCTCATTGGTTAAATATATGGTCAAACTTAGATCTCGAGAAACGCGGGCACACTACATTGCGAAATGGAGGAAGTAATAATGTTGAGACACTTATTTTGAGACCAAGGAAATGGTTAATTGTATTATTAATTTGATGATTAGTTTTGAAGAATCAAATAAACTCATCGCTGATACACAGTCCATCACATTGCTCAGGATAATACATGGAACAGGCAATGATGCGGTGGCCGAATAGAAAATTCATACTACCTCTCTCTCAGTTTACAGGGCGTGTACATACCCCTAGGTTGTCTATTTTACCAACCTAATACAAGTCATATATTACAAAAAATATACCAATATAAACTTCAGATGTTCTATTTTCAAAAGATATAATTTTTGTGTTATATAGTTTATATTAGGGTGGTCAAATTGACAACCTAGGTATACGCATAGGACTTGTAAACTGAGACGGAGGCCGTACTTTTCTTGTGCCTGCACCGGCTACGCATTGAATTCACAGTACATTGATTTTGAATGGTCAAGTCAATGGAACAGGCAATGTGCAACTCCTTATACTACGATGGAACTATTCATGCAGATGTATAATTAGCCCGTATACTTGCAAAAAGCCTGACAGGAGCGAATCCTGAGGCCATACCCACGAGGGGGATAAAGAGCTACCTGGTGCTCGGCCGCTGCAACGCCGCACTCGCTGACTCAGCTTTATTGTGCTTGCTCTAACACGAAGGAGGAAGAGCCCAGAGTGTTGCGTGATGGAATCCAGGGTCGATGGTGGACAAAAGCATGCGGGGCTAGTCTGACGGCACATCATGTCATGTAGAGTATCCCTACTACTACTAGTATGCCAACAAATATTCTAAATTTCATAGGACTCACGTCAGACTATTAAGGGCTGAGCGGCAGGCACAACTGTTAATTTTGTTCCCATGCACACATCCACATGCCCACATTGAACGCTCAGGATGGTGAGTACCGTGTAGCTCGGGCTACAAAAAACTGCTCTCTAAAACTTTTTATCTAAGTCGAGTTTGACAGAGATGATATACAACATTTGGATAGTAATATTAGTTTCCATCATCGATAAATAATCAAAGACAACAGAAACAAATACTATGACGCATAATAAACATGTACTCTCTCTAACCGAGAATACACAAAAACCTTGAACTGAGGTGCTAGGCACCACTTTATTGCAGGATCCAAACAAACAAAAAAATTACTACTACAGAGTTAAATTTTCTCGCAGATGAAGTCAGTCGTCTGTGGGTAACAGCCATATGGGTGGACGTGGCGGTGGCAGCGCACAACCATTTTTATGTCTAAAAGGACGTTGCACTTCTTCAGTCCCTTTCTCCAGGTTGAAAACGTGCAGGTAATTCTCCTCGGCAGCGATGTTGTTCAGAAAGTAGATACAGTTGCTAGACAAACCATGTTCACTGGCCGAACATGACGCTCCAAAGTTGGAAGCTCCGATGCTGTCTCCACCCAAGAGGAACACCCTATCACCAATCATGTCCACCTTGCACCATTCTGGCCTCGAGAAATCCATCTTATACACGTTGACCTTGTCGATTTTGTGCACGTTGTGTCCAAGAAAGAGAACGAACACCATAAAGAGGTCACCACATGATTCAACCAAGTAAGTGGAAGAAACGGCATGGTGGCGGGCAGTTCAACCATATCAACTTCAAACTCGGTGAGGCTGAGCTCAGGGCTAAACTCCACCACTCCGAGGGCGTGTCCCGTGAACGTGTAGTAGACCTTTCCCCCAACAGCAGCAATACCTTTAAGTTTGGCCATATGTATCTGCCTAGGATTGTCATCTGCGAGGAACATGGTGAGCTCGTAGTTGTAAGAGTCCCATTGGCTTCCTCCGATTCGGCACACCAACAGATTAGACTTGTCAAGATCAAGTACCAGAACGGTGCAAGATGTGGCATTAGGCTTGTCAGAGAGCAGGCACTTGCACCTCCTGGGGAAATCGTGGTTGGGGGATGGAAGGCTGATCCTTTGGCCGTCCTGAGGTCGCCAAAGGAACGTGTGCAGGGAAGCAGGGTCCAGCGCGAGCACCCAGCCCTGTGGAGACTCGAAGCACCTGTAGTCCTTGAGTTCATGGATTGCTGCGGTGTTCAGGGCCTGGTTGGAGATGCTGAACCGCGTCTGGCAGTCATCTGTACGGTTCCCAAGATCATGCACAAGCAATGGGAAGGGGCCTTCCATCTGCTGCAGGCTAGGAATTTCCACAAAATATTGTGGCGGTAGTATTCAACAACAGACGGCAAAAAAGACTCAACTCCGTGATCTCTGTTTGCGCCTTGGCCCCCTTTATTTATAGCGATGGATGTCCTCCTTGGTGACCTCTGTCGTCCCGGAATCGGGCTCCTAACTCCGCTGCTAGTACGTCAAATTGGTCTCCGTCCAGGAATCGGTCTCTCAACTCTTGCACTATAACGATAAGCAGATGCAAACCTAGCTGCTATGTCACGGGGCAAGCTAGAAAAATCGAGATTTTTTTTGTGCTTAGGGCATCTTCAACGACAACCCGTAAGTTTCCTCCCATATCCACCCGTGGACACGGGTCCAGTCGGTAGACACGGATGCAGGAGGACGCCAAGCCGCATATATTTTGACAACAACTCGAACCAACCGGATGAAATTCGATCAAACCGGGTGAAATTTGATATAAACACGGCGGATTTCATTGAAACTAGGATAATTTGTACATAAAAACGGACGATATTTCGTCCGGTGATCAAAAAACCTTAAAATAAAACTCTAAACTAGCCGACTGGACCCGTGTAGGGGCGGGCTGGCCGGCGGTTCCTCCTTCGTCATTGACGTCCGACCCGGCGTCATCGTCGTCGTCGGGCTTCTTGCAACGAAAGGTGGTGGCATCACGGCAAGGCTTCCCGGCGGGCCTGACGCTCGCGGATAATCCTCTCCGCTTCCTCCTGCATCATGCGCAGTTCGGCCGCGGTCAGCAAGGACATGGGCTGGGGAGAGGGGGGCGGTCGTTGGAGGAGGCGTTGGTGGCGGCGTCGATCTTGGTGAGGGATCATTCCTCGCCGTACCTGGCCATCTCCCATCAAGGCGGCGGAGACGGTGCTTAGCCGTCTCCGACGTCGTCACCGACTGGTCTAGGGCCTAGGCGTAAGCCAGGTCCGGGTCCGCCGCGATGTATGGCTGGGGCACGTCCGAGTTCGCGAACTTTGTCCTGTGCACGGCGTTGCTACTGTCCCGCCGGTGCTGCTCCCGGTCGGCGTACTCCTGCGCCATCATGACGCTCCGGGAGGACGAACAACTGCCGCTGATGCCGCTGCTGCCGCCGCTGCTGAGGTACTGAAGAATGAGGCCGCGACCTTGGGTAGGGGCGGTCGTGCGCAGTGCTCCTCCTTGGCGAAGCACCGGGGCAGCGGCAAGCGGCGCTCCTCCTTCACAACCCACTAGGGCAGCGGCGAGAGGCGCTCCTCCTTGACGTGCGTGGCGGCGCCAAGAGCCGCTCTTCCTTCACGCGACGTCCGATTTGAACGCCGCGGCTGCACGGCAGGGGAGAGCATGGAGGGGATGCCGACTCCGGCTTCACGGGTAGGAGCGCCCCTGATGGCGGAGTCGGGCCTTTGATCTGGACGATGGAGCATCAGCTCCTCGAACTCCATGTCGGTGGCAGCATAGACCTGGCCCGGCACCGCCGACGCAAACTGCGGCGGCGGTGGCTGCTGGTCCTCCTCGTCGCCGGAGGAGATGACGATCTCCACTCGCATCGAGGAGCCGCCAGCCGATGAGGACGATGGCACCGGAGTTCGACGGCGCTGTCGCCACAATCCAACATATCTCGCCCCGGAACCGCCTGCCGGCGCCGACGCCCAGGACTTGCCCATCGTCCGAGATGTGGAGGAAGATGGGCGGGGAGAGGGGAGGAGGAGGAGGAGGAGGAGCTGATGTGGCCGCCGCCGGAGCGCGGTTTATATAGCCGCGGCCGGGCCATGCGAAGGGACGGCCAGCCGATTCAATGCTGAGAAGCGGCCGGAGTTGATTCCTCAGGAACTTGAGTCTGCATTGAAGCGGCGGCTGCCGAGAGGTCGCGTCGCTCAGTGCCGTCCTCCCTCGCTCCAGTCACAGCATTAATGCCAGTCTCCGCCTGCTCTGGGCCGGTATGAATGTGACGCGTTAAGTGGGCGTGCATCGGAAGGAAATCACAGAAGGGGCGGGTGATGGTTTTTTGATGGGTCAGGGCTATCAGAAGCGGGATTGGGATCGGTCCAGACTCCCGCAAATCTCCTCCATATTTGTCTTCGGTTTGCGAAAGAAAACGCATTCAGACCGCGTTGCGGACCGATATAGGACCGCGTTGAATGATTTTCGCGGTCCGGACAGTTGCATGAGGTTTGATGGTCGGTGTTGGAGATGCCCTTACCACCATCAATACGAATCTCTATCAGATTCCTCTACTGTTGTCCCCCCTCCCCGAATGCTGATTTGCCTCCCCTGCCCACAGCCGCCCTCTCCTAGTCTCCTTTGTCGTCCACGATGATTTGAAGCTTCTTCCGTTTCCTTTTTTTCATTCTGATAAGGTTCGGGTAGACCTACCCTATTGGTTCGGTCAAGAGTTCAAGTTTGGTTCCCTTCAACTTCTTATAAGATTTATTATACCAATCGGTTGGTCGGTTCTCTTGCAAAACAAGGATCAAAATTACGTTGTCGGTTCTAAGAATTAACTTGATTTTTAATGCAAAATAAGGGAGGTACACTAAACGTGAGCAAAAGTGCTACTTAGGACGGGGCGGCTTCCCGACTGTCTGCTACAACAAGGTTTGCCCTGCTTCGGCGAGGGAGGGGCAATGACAGCGGCGCTCCTTCGGCTCGCTTCAGTGCTTATAGTCGTCGCTAGATGGTCTACGGATCTGGATGTAATTTTTATTATTTCTAGTTTTCGTTGTACTACCATGATTGAAGATGAATATATTGGAAGTTTTTTCCGCAAAAAAAAAAAAAAAACGGGGCGGCCCCAAGTCCCTCTCCGACTCCCCTTTGCCTACTTTCCCCCCTTGCCAATTTACTCGATGTATATTATATTTGAGTCAAATGCACCACTGGGGCTAGAACTTGGCACAAATGATCACTTTAGTGCTAGAACTTGTGGTGTACATATAAGTGGTTCAAGAACTTGGCTTGATGGTGCAAATACAGTATCGCATACGCCTGCGACGCTGACTAGGCGTGCCAGCATGGCGGGACCCACTGTCAGTGGCAAAAAGGGAATGCAGGACGTGCAACCTATTTTTGTTTTGCGAGAAGCCCCTCAATAATTGTTTTCTCTTATGAAAAAGTACAGAAAATCAATTGGTCCGCCGGAGGTTCAAACCAGCGCGACCTGTGGACTGGCAGCCCACCTAGACAGCCTTGTTGTCACGTGAGACATATTCTTTATATATTTTGACTCAACAATTTTAGTCTCAAAAATCAGTGCATGCTCGGTCATTCGAAGCAGGAACCTTAGGGTAAAATAATTGCTTGGCCATACCACCACAACAGACAAGGTCACTTATTTGTGATGTCTAATTACACTTTATGAATATAACATAACGTGATCGTGTGACTAAACTGAATTGCAGTCAGTGAAACCATTTTAATCATTTTAGTTTTTTGCATCTTTAAATTTGATTAAAAATGTAAATTATAATTATGTGCTATAAATAATATGCATATAAAACATTAAAAATGTTCATATAACATCAAAAACAAATCCACCTACTAATTTAACAAAAATCCATATAACTAAGTTAGTGCCCATGGATACAACTCCAACTGAAGAGGAAACATATTTATGCAGTATAATTACACTTTATGACTATAATGGAAAACAATCGTGTGGTTCACGTGTTTTAATATCATATTCACGTAGTATACAAAAGTGATCATGTCTTAAGAAAATTTTAGGTTGTTTTAAGAAGAATTCACGTGTTTTAGTAAAAAAATCTAAAAATATTATTTATGTACTTTTAAATAAATGTAAAATAAGTATGAAAAAATAAATATGCGCCTAGTATGCCATCAGATTGCAGAATCTGAAACTTGTACTATTGAAATCTTATAAACAGATTTTATAATTAATAAATATTTTAAATTGTATGAATATGTTTTAAAATAATACATGAACTACTTTTTAAATGACATGAATTGTTTAAGTTATGCAAAGGTAATTATTCTTTGGACGACCTGTGTTGGGGTGGTATATGCCTGGCTATGTAACCTGCTGTATTTTGTTTTGGGGACTAACATTTCTTAATTTATACGGTTAAACCTAAATAAAGTATATAAAGCCTATATAGCTATACTGACATCAAATCTAAATTTGTGCGCTAGCAAGCCACCGGCGCACGTGACCTATAGGTCACGAGTTCGAACGACTTGCTTTTTTTCTTTTATGTACAGTTTCTCTGGAGGGACTTATTCGTGAGAAAAATAATATCAAGAGGCTTTTTGCAAAAGACAAGCCACACGCTCTGCCCTCCCCTTTCTGTCACTGACAGCAAGCCCTACGCCAAGCTGGTGCGCCGTGGGTGTGTATAACACCGTATTTGCACCGTCAAGCCAAGTTCTTGAACCACTTAT